GCTGTTAGAAACTACTTATGATTAAATGAAGTCAAAAGGGTGGGGTCTTAATGAGATAGGATTGGTGGCCTTATAAGACTAGGAAGACAGATCTCTCCTTCCATGCATACTCGCCAAAGAAAGGACAGATGGAGGTGTCAGTCTGCAAACCAGGAAGAGAGCTTTCATCAACCCTGCTGACACCCTGATCTTAGACTTTCAGGCTCTAGAATTGTGAGAAAATAAACTTCTCTTGTTTCAACCACCCAGTTAGGACAGCCTGAACAGAGTAAAAACAGGCTGGTATTCAATCTGGGAGCTTCTCACCACCTAAAATTCTTCTACCAATCCAGCCCTGAAAGTCCAACCCACCTTCTCAGTGTAGCCTTCCACATTTACCTAAGAAGTAATCTCTTCCTCCCATGGGGCCCCCTAATACTTTATCCTTGACTGTCTGACGACCCAGTCTCCTTTGTATCAATTGTCATTGGTGTACATACCTCATCTCCCTGAGAGCTAAAGCATGGATTTTCTCCGTGTTCCTATAGCACCTGGCACAGGAGGCACTCGGTAAGTGTCCAGTGAATTTAGAGCTCTTTCTTGGCGCGCTCACTCGCGCTCTCTCTCTCTCTCTCTCACACACACACAGTGAACCAAGTTATAATTCACCTATATTTACTACTTTGTAGAAAGCACAAGGGGGCCAGAGGTCAGCAGATGAAAGAATCAGTCCATTTGTCTGCTCCAGATTCTTTGTAAAAAAAAAAAAAAAAAATGTTTTTTGGTTGGGGGTAGGTGCACCTGGGTATCTCAGTCAGTTAAGCATCCAGCTCTTGATTTTGGCTCAGGTCATGATCTCACCGGTTTGTGGGTTCAAGCCCCACATCAGGCTCTGCACTGACAGTGCAAAGCCTGCTTGGGATTCTTTCTCTCTCCCTCTCTCTTAACACTAGCATTCAGATTCTCCTGACCTTCCACTAGGTTATAGCACACGTTGGCAGCATGTAACTTTCTTTCTTTTAAAGCCCCTTCTTCCCACAGCTGTCAGTAGTTCCAAAAAGAAGAGGGTATAGGGGTCCCTCACCTCCCCAAGCTCCCCCCCCATCCCTTGTCAATGATAGTTAAGAAAAAGGTGGTGAATACCAGGCATTGGATAAAAGATGCCCTTCTTCATTGACTCTGGAATTATGCCCACTGGCCTCTGCTGAAGAGAAGGGGCCTGTGCTGCCCATGGTCCTCTCTCCAGAGAATGATTAAGAATGGATCCAAAAAGGCTTTGAAGTACTCTCCCTTATGTTCTAGTATAGTCAAATAGTTTCTGTATGATTTATCTTAAATTCAAAATGTAGGAAGCTGGGGGTGCCTGGGTGGCTCAGTCGGTTAAGATCCGATTCTTAATTTTGGGTCAGATCATGATCTCACAGTTTATGGGAATCAAGCCCCGCTTCAGGCTCTGTGCTGACAGTGCAGAGACTGCTTGGCATCCTCTCTCTCTCCCTCCCTCTCTCTGCCCCTCCCCCACTCACACTCTCTCTCAAAATAAATAATTTAAAAAACATCAAAACATAGGAATCTAATTTTGAGTGAGAAGGAATGTATTTAAAAATCCAACACCCGTGGTCATGTTCTCATTCTTTATTTGGGTACTGGCAACACAGGTATATTCACTTTGTAAAAATTGAGCTATTCACTTTAGAGGTGTGTGAGTGTGTGTGTGTGTGTGTGTGTGTGTGTGTGTGTGTGTGTGTGTTATACTTCACTGAAAAGTTCACTTTTCTAAAAAATTCTCCACCTTGAAAACTAGGAAAATTGAACAATTTTCCCAGGGTCACACAGCTAGTGAATGCCTGGAGTAAAGGCAAGAACTCAGATCTCCTAGCTCTTTAGTTAGTACCTATTTTAAAAGTGCACCTAAGAGTAAGTGGAAAGTTCAATTTCAGTTTCTTTTAATCTGAATGTTGCTAGAAATTCCCTTGGTTTTCTTAGAGCCCTGCTCTGCATCTAAAAGTTGACATATTTGAGGTACGCCTGGGTAGCTCATTTGGCTGAGCAACCTACTTCAGCTCAGGTCATGGTCTCATGGTTCATGGGTTTGAGCCCTGCTTCAACAGCTGACAGCTCAGAGCCTGGAGCCTACTTTGGATTCTGTGTCTCCCTGTCTCTCTGCCCCTCCCCTGCTCATTCTCTCTCTCTCTCTCTCTCTCTCTCTCTCTCTTACTCAAAAATAAATTAATGTAAAAAAAATTTTTTTTAAGTTGACATATTTGAAAGAGGGTTTTCTCATTATTATGGAGCCATACCAGCTCCCTACATGCTGTCTAACTGGTGGCTGTGGCCACCAGTGAAATTTACAGCCAAGCCACTCCTTTCTCCTGGTGCATGGGTCTGGAAAGGGGCTCCGTGGGAAGCCCCTATATGTTTGTGTTGGCCTGTGTGCCCTGAAAGGGCAGGTGGCCTGGCCAGGCTCAGAGTGGTACTCACCTTAGACCTTATCAGCAGCCCTTTGTCTGGACAAAGGTGACAGACCAGCAGTTATTGATTTAGTTACAGCTCCATCAGGAGGGCATAGAGAGAGAAAACATCATTATAAATCTGAGATTTTCTTTAGCTATTTCCATTTCATTCATTCAGCAAGACTTTCATGTTCCATGATGACTCTGTTGACTTTAGAAAGCTTGAGCAGTTCATGGGGACGTTTGACCACCCTAAGGCCTAGGAGTCAGTGACTGGATGAGATAAAATTGAGCCTTGCCCTCATCCCCCAATCTGTCAAAAGCCTTTCAGTCAACTCTCTCCTGGTGCCCAAGGCTCTGAGTGTCAAGGTCATGATGCATCCCAGCCTTGCTTCCCTGCCCATGTGGGAAGTGCTTGGCCTAATTCAGCTGACCATTCAGCAGTGCTCATTGACATCGGAAACACCACCCCTCTGTACCAAAAGCCCACCTGAATTATCCAGAAGTGGTCTCGCCCACCAAGTCTCAGTGCTATAGGTTGGCCCCCTCCTGGACTTCCTAATCCTGTCTCCCCACAATGTCTGAAATGTGGTCCAAGGGACAGTGCCGACGAGATGTCCCACTCTGGCTCACAGCCAAGCCGGGGGGTGTGGCTTTTACCACCCTGGGTGGACCCCTTCCCTATAACCTGAATAAGTTCTATCATGGGTGGTCCTGTGGGTAGAACACCCTGCCCAAGGTAACCAGACCTCCTACATCCATTTGTGTCTTCCGTAGTCCAGGGACTTAAAAGTAGTGGCCTCTGGCAGGTCATTCACTACACTGCTGGTGACCTCTGTAAACTCACTTCTTCAACAGGCAACTGATAGTCAGCTCTGTTCCTCGAGGGGACTGACAGGCCCCCCAAGGGGCTTGCTTTCACTCCAGTGAGGGTCAGGAGTCCAGATGGAGTAAGTTCTGGTTAAGTTTGCATGTTCTGTGCTCCTTTTACCAGGAACCAGGAGCTGTCGTCTTTGAGTTAACATTGTGCCTGTGCCAGCCAGACTGGCCAATTTAATATCTTTTCAATTAGTGAATCTTCCAATAATAGCATTTTAACAATGAAGTTCCAAAGAAAAAACTTCTTCTTCATTTTTGTCCAAAGGGGGAAAAGAAACGTGTAATAATGGTATTATAAATTCTAAAGTGGTGATCATTTGGCTGTGCTACAAAATTTGTTGCTAATAATTAAAATAAAGATTTAAGTAAATGCTTTATCAATAAAATAGACGATAGGACATATTTTTCTCAGCCGGTGTCAGGAAAGGCAGCACACAGCCATGTGCTGAATTGTCACACTGAGTCTTTAAAATTCCTGCTGGATTTGAAGGTATTAACAAGTCCCTATCAACATTCTCTAAGGGTTTTTGATGTCATTTTAGCTATTGAACTAAAATATGTGAACTATTACCTTGTTGATTTTGTCCTTAAACCAAACTGCATTATCATCTGAGAGTATGTTCTTAAAGTATTGTTAAAAGTACTTTGAAAACTTGTAAATCCCTGTAATTTATGTTTCTCCTGCCTCTGCTGTTTCATTCTGTCCTTCTGGTTTTAATTTGAATGCAGTCTTGTCTGGGTGTGTACCTGTAAAATTATGTATTTCCAAGTACAATTTACAGTCCTGACCTTAGATTCTTACAGTGTCCCCAGCGTTCTCTGAGCTTCCTCTTATACCAAGAAGTGGGCTTCGGGTCCTTCAGTTCTTTCATATTAGAATCATCTAATCAAGGTTACTTGAAACAGATCCGATTTTGACATTTCTTAGTTTATCATGTAGGCCCAGGGAGTAAATTAGGAGGGCTTCCCTGCAAGCCCATTAATTGCATTGCCCCATTCCTTAAAACATATACACTTGTAAACCTAGACTGCCTCAAGACAAGAGTCTCATTTATCTAAACAGTTCTCCTTTTAGACTCAATGGCACTGATGGAAACACAGATAAGGAGTGTGGATCAGAGGAAGGATCTTTTGGAGCCTGTGCTTGCTGAAACTGTTCCTACTCCCCTTACAGTCCCCTTTTCTTTCCAAGGGCCTGTCTGCACATACAGAACAGTCAGTATATCCCCGGAGCTTGGTTAGGGGAAGACCGCAGCAGGCAGTGCAGTGGGAGAGGGCATCTTTCTTCTGAGGGGGCTCTTTGCAGGTTTCAAGGAATAGGACTTCTCTGTTTTAAGGGGAGGATGGAGGGCGGGCGCTTTGTTAAAGCAGAGTCTGTATGTTGAATCCTCTCCTGCCTGGCAGCGGAGCCCTTCATCGTGGACTAGAAATGGCCGCAGAACTTTTGGAATCGTTTCCTTAAGTTGGGAAATGAGATTTCTTTACTTTCTTTACTTTCTGTTCCTTTAAGAACAAATATCACTTAGGAGTCTTTTTTTTTTTTTTTTTTTTTTTTTTTTTTTTTTTTTTTTCCTCCTTACACTCCTTCAGTGTGTTCTCCATGGTTCTTACAGACACTGTTGGGAGTGGAGGAGAAAGGGGCAGGCAGAGCTTTTTGGCCGTTGACCTAGGTTTCCTCTTCTGTTTCAGGTCATCGTACAGTCTGGCCGCCACCCCACGGTGCTGCAGAAACTCTGCCAGTTGCCCTTCCTGTACTTCAGTGACCCACGACTGATCAAAGTGCTGTTCCCCTCACTTATCGCTGCTTGTTACAACAACCGTCAGAACAAGATCATTCTGGAGCAGGAGATGAGCTGTGTTTTACTGGCCACATTCATTCAGGTACCTTCTGTGTTATGCCTGATTCTCTGACTTTGAGTGGAAGCTAATGCAATTGCAAAGTTAAAGTGAACCAGCTGTTTATTCTTGCCATCCTCAATGTCTTTAAAATTTTTCGCGTTTTTATGTGCTTGAAAATTAATTTCTAAAATATTAGGATAGTAAAACTAGGGTTGAATGGTGTAAACTTCAACGTGGAGGACTTCAAGAAAAGGATATTTTTCCAGTTGTTGAAATGGTACACCCACACCAAGGAAACATTTTAAAAAGGTTGCCAGACTTCTTTAAGGCTTTTAACATTTACATTCACCTTGCCTTTAGTGCAGCTACAGGGAATAGATAAGGATTGCTGAAGAAGGATCAGTTAAAACTTCAGTTGATTTGTAAGTTTTAAAATAAGTATGATTCATACACACACGTGTGTGTAATAAAAACCTGCTTATATTGCTTTTTTAAAAATCTAACAATTGTAAGTATGGCCTTATATTTTTCTGATGTGGTTAAAATTCTGTAGGACTAGAATCAGAATTAGTGCTGTAGCAAAATAAAGCAGTATTTTCACATCTAAATTAACTGCGTCAACTGACAATAGAAACTCAAGTTGGCTATTCTTTAACATTTGCTAATAGCTAATCCTGCAACTTTTTTTCTGTCATTGTAGATCATTCATTGCTGAAAATCTTCCATTTTCCTTGAAATGTTCTATAAAACCAATGTTTTTTTGTTCCATGATGTACGTGTGATTAAAAGACAATGTTTTCTGTTAATAACAATGAAACAGAAAGCAGAGCTCTGTAGCAGTATTCTTCTTTATTCTGGCAAATATACATGCATCTTTGTTGAAAGGATGTGATAGTGCCCAGCTGGTTGGGATGGCTAAAGAGTCCAGCTTTCTTCACCTTAGACAGCAGTTAGTGGTTTATGTTTTTTAAACTATCCTCTATTAGACCATCAGTTAACAAATACAACTAGATCAATTGTGTTTAGAAATGTTTACTTTCAGCTTAGTTGTTCCAATTGAGTCTGGGTTCTGTTTTCTGAAAATTTTTTCAAAGATCTGCAGATCCACAGGTAGGGTATGGATTTCAAAACAAAAATCTTATGGTTAAATTAAAACCTTAATAAGATCTTACATAACCATCATAGCAACATTTAAGATTTTGCATATATTCTTAAAGGCTTAGGATTAAAATTTAAATAGAAAATACTTGGGCGCCTGGGTGGCTTAGTCGGTTAAGCAGCCCACTCTTAGTTTGGGCTCAGGTCATGATCTCACAATTTGTGAGATCGAGTCCTGGGTCAGGCTCTGTGCTGAAGGCACAGAACCTGCTTGGGGTTCTCTGTTTCCCTCTCTCTCTGCTCCTCCCCTGCACTCTCTCTTAAAATAAAAAAATAAACTTAAAATAATAACAATAATAATAATAATTTAAAAATACACTATAGAGTATTTTAAGACTGATCTTAAAATTCAGTCTTGTATTCAGGAGGTAATTTCTGAGTGCCTCTGGTGTTCTGGGCACTGTTCTAGGCACTAGGAATACACCAATGAATAAAACAGATAAAAATTCCTGCCTTTATAGATCTTTCATTAAAGTAGGGGGAATCAAACAGAAAAGTAAAACAAATAGCATGTCAGGTGGTGTTAAGTACTATGGAGAAAAATAAGGCTGGGAAGGGGGATGGGCTGCCAGGGAGGGGGATGTGATGTGCAATTTTTTTATGACATGAGCAGAGAGGCCCCACCAAGACAGTGATAGTTGAGCAAAGACAGTTTTGCATCTGTATGAACGTAGTCCCTCACATTTTCAACCACTTGGAAAACAGTTTATGAAAATACAAATGATGTCAGAATCTAAAGTAAAAAATTTTTACTTATTTTCATCTGGTATTGATCTTAAAGCCTTCTAACTTTTCTCTGTGCTATTTAACACACATTTAAATGGAATTTAATGTAAATGTAACAAATTGAACATACATTTGGACACACACATTTTGTAAATGTTACAGAAATTTCTTATTTGAGATAGCATGTTAGATTAGTGAAATTAAATCAGATTTTCTTTTCTATAAATAATTATGCTCAAAGGAGTGAATATATAGTGGATTTTAGTGTATAATGTGGTTCTTTGAGGTCTGCATGTGTTAGGTTATTAATAGTCACTAGAAAATGATACTAAAAATAGGAGCTGGTAGTTTGTCATAGGTCTCTGAAAATTTACATAAAAGTGAAATTACTAGGCTTTTTTAGCTGCAGAATATGTAAGGGCTTTTAGAGTTATGCTTTTTTAAAAAATGTTAAAAATCTATCAATATTTTAAGAGCAAGTTTGGCTAAAGCATTCAGTTTGCTGAAATAAAGTTGTAGTTTCTGGCCCCTGATGATCTGTACCAAGATTTGAGTCATCACTATTTGATTTAAATTGAGAACCTGAACACCAATTTCTTAAGCTTTTATATTTGGGCTCCAAAGTATTCATGCAAAAATAGTTGTCTTTAGACTTCAGAATCACATTTAAAACTGCCGTCAGAGAAATTCTCTGACGAAATTCATAGCACTGGTATAAAAACACTTTTCTTGTCTCACACAGGATTTTGTACAGACTTCAGGTCAGGCAGATAACCAGCTTTATCAGCCCAAAGGTACGTCCTATTGAAATGAAATGTCATATGTTTGTTAGCTGAATGGACATGTTTCTTACTCCACCCTCTGGAACTATTACAGAAATCATTTTATTACATCACCCTAAAACATTTGAGATTCGGATACCAATTATAATTCAATGAGTAAAGAAACTGATTTTGTCATCAAGCATTAATGCATCAGAATATACAGAGAAATTTTGAAAATAAAAGCACAAAACATCTTTACATAATTTATATTCACCTCATACAAGATATAACAAATAGTGAATAATTGCTAAAGAGCCACTTTGTAATACAGGAGACAATCAGGTCATTAATATTGGCCTACATTACTCACATAAATGCTAAAATCACATAGATTTGGTTTCCTGTCTGTGTTCAGAATAAAATTATGAATGATAATACCCCATATTTCCCCCCTTAAATTCAAGTACTCGGATATTTTTATTGAAAATAAAAACTGTAAAATTGTTTTACTTGGAGAAAAAAGAACATCAGATTAGTAAGAGTTCAGAGGCCAAATGATTTACAAGCATTTTTTTTCCTGTAGTGTTCCTGCTGAGGTGCTTCCTATGATCAGAGCTGGAGATGTAGAATATTAAGGACATTTTTACTTTTTAAAAATATTCTGCTACACACACTGTAATTGAGAAGTACAAATGGCTCTTTGTCTGGCTGTTGTGACAGCACCTTTGATTAATGAGGCCCTAATACAGATTTTTCCCCAATTCTTCCATTAGTTTGATACTCCTTAAAGTGGCCAGAGGCCCACTCCCAACAGGACCCTCTAGATGACCCACCAAGTAGCCCCTACTTGGAGGGGTGGTGAGTCACCTTGTCACCTTGGACAGTCTCTCTCTTTCTCTCCCTCGCCTCTCTCTCTCTCTCTCCCTCCCTCCCTCTCTCTCTCTCTTTCTCTCTCTCTCTCTCTCTCTCTCTCTCTCTCTCTCTCTCTCTCACACACACACACACACACACACACACACACACGTACACCAATTATCTATAGTGGGCAAATGTTGAAAAGTACATAGAAAAGTATATAAAGCTGTACCAGTATCATGAAGAAAAGGTCAGGTTTTATTGGTTCAGACACTCAGAGAAGTAAACAGAAAGCTATGTTCCTTTTCAGAAGTTCAAATCAACATCATAGTACCATTTGTCTAAGCCAGAATTAGTGTGCAAGTTCAGGACTGCCCTGACTCAGTCACAGCCTTTTTTTTTTTAAGTTATTGGAGGCTGCAGTGAGTGAAATCAGTATAATTTGTTACTATTTCTTAAAACAGTGTTTTGAATTTTGAATATATGAAAATGCCTTGAAAAATCTAATGTATTTTTAATTGTACAGCAACTTTTTTGCCCGTAAGAAGTACAGACATTCTTTCTTCTTCCTTTCTCCTGACTGTAAGGATGAGTCACCATTTGCTACATATCTGGCAGACATAGTCCCAAGAGCTGCCTCAGCTCGGTGGGTTGAGGCCTGTGAGAGTTTCAACCTTCTTTCTTTTCCAAGGACCCATCTTCTTGACATCCACGCTTTCCCCAATTCCAGTATGCTTAATCCGTAAAACAGCAAATGGAGAACTGTTCTCTGCATTTCTCAGAGTCATTATATTGGTGACAGCTCTTAATATGCTTACTTGGTTTTAAAAAAAAAAGTGAGGGCACCTAGATGTTTCAGTGGGTTGAGCACCGACTTCAGCTCAGGTCATGATCTCACTGTGAGTTGGAGCCCCGCGTCAGAATTGCTGCTTTCATCATAGAGCCTACTTTGGATCTTCTGTCTCCCTCTCTCTCTGCCCCTTCCCTGCTTAGTTTCTTCCTCTCTCTTAAAAATAAATAAACATTTTTTAAAAAGAAATTTTCTTTAAAAAATAATTCAAAAAGTTTAAAAAAATGATTCCATACTAGACATCTGTTCTCCTTTTGCTTAGTTTAAGTCCCCAGAAATGTTTCAAGGCATTTTAGTTCATTGCCCAGGTAAACCTCTACATTCTAAGTGTAAAGCAGCTCCTGGTAGCACCACATTCTTATTGCTAAAGGAGAATTCTGATTTTCAAACACTGGCTGCTTAATCACTACCCAGCTAGGAGGTTGTTTTCTTTGCCTACATTGATAACCAGTAAAGTTCTCACTCATTCCCTCCGCTTTGTTAGATGACTTGAATGCCAGATTTGAGCATTTTTTAAAGTCATATTTAAATTAAAATATTTTAAATTAGGCTATTTTAGGCGACAAATGTCGTTTATATACAGATATATCATTTCGAGGCTAACTTAAGGATGGAAGAGATGACTGTCATTTTATTTGGATCACCATACTTATTTCCCCCTATTTTCTTATTCTGGAGTCCAAAAACAGGTTTTTTTGTAATGTTTTACATAGGGATTAATGTCTGAATATGTTAGAAGCACAAAATAAATTGTGATTAAAATATGTATATTTTGTGCTGTAGGTAGATAAAAATAGATCAGTTACCTTCTTTATATAAACTTGTATCGTGGTTTATTTGAAGTGCATGTCTCCATTTTGTAGTCAGATATCAAAATAATTTTAATTTCTTAAACTTCAAAGAATTTATTATCTTTTTTTCTTCTCAGGAAAATCCCTTGGTTCCCAAGACTATCTTGAGCTGGCTAACAGATTTCCTCAGGAGGCCTGGGAAGAAGCTCGACAGTTTTTTTTAAAAAAAGAGAAAAAATAAATGATTTGGTTAGTTCTGTATTTGAGTGCCCTTGTTAATATTTTAAACTGTTCAAACAAATGTTCTAACTGTTCCTTAAGAAGCTCATTTTCACATGTTTATACTCTCCCCCTGCATTGTAGATATGGTATATACTTTGCACTATTTATAATGACTGTAGATACTTTAATGTTCTTTCTAATTCTGGAAGTTGAGTTTATTTCACTTATGCACAATATTTTGGAGTTCGGTTACCTACATCCTATGATAATATATACTTTGCATTTGTAATATGGGTGAAATTAGACATAAAATTAGCAAGTCTGTTTTGTTCTTGTAATAAAATAACTTATTCTGTTTGCAGTGGTGACTTTTCTTATTAAGACAATACCAATTTGAAAGAAAAATGTTAACTCCAACTCTGGGAGTATTTTAATTAAAGACTTAAAATTAACCTCTAAATTTCCCTTTTTAAGGTTTGGAGTAAAGATGTTTGGAACACTTGGCTATTCTAATTACATAATAAGTTTGGGGGCTATTTGAAATGAATTTAGGACATTGTATCCATTGGTCCGCCTCACCTTTCCTAGCGAACAGGACTTTCCTAGCAGACAGGACTGAGAACCATTGCTGAACTGAAAGTATTCTCCAGAATAAAAATTATCGATTCAAAAAGATCAGCCATAGTGAATCACCTTGACGCATTTCCTCAAATAATTGTGAAATGAAGCAACTCTGAAGTAACCATAAAACAAGGCCAGAAGGGCTCTGAATAAAAGTTTTAAACTCCGATGCCCCGCTCACAGTTGAACGTGAGAAGGGTCTGCCTGGGAGACGTAGACCTTTTCATATCTCGTTCCCAGCGTTTCACCACCTTAAGCCGACGGCCAGTGCTAAGCCGCTCACTGAATGACATCTGTAATAATTTCTGTCCGATAAGGATCAAACATTACCGTGAAGAAAAGATCTGGTTGGAAAAAAAAAGTGGCCTGAATATGTGTCAGAGTCAAAGCTATAGGAAGGTAGGCGGGGCGGGACCAGAAAATAACAAAAGTTTCGGTTTTTTAAAAACACCCTACTTAATGTTCACAACACTCCTTTTTGGAGCCTCACAAAGCTGCTGAGCTATGTGTTTTTACTTCTTTGCAAATCGAAAGAAAATGAAGAGGTCCCCAAAATTAAAAAAAAAATAAAGACGGAAACCACGGCGAACGCGTCCCTGTGCCCTCTGTGCTCCCGCGGGCGCGGGTCCCCGGCGTCTTCCCCACGTCGGGCCGCAGGGGCCGCTGCGGGGCTGGGGCCGCGACCCCGCGGGTCCTGCCCGGGCTCCAGGGCGGGGGGGCCGCCGGCCCCAAAGCCAGCGGGACCCGCTCTTGGGAACCCCTCCCGCCAGGGCTCGGGCGGCGATCCGGCGCCGGACCCGGGACGCCGCGGCGGCGCGCACACAATGCCGCGAGCCGGGCGGTGCACCGCTCTCCGAAGGCCGAGGGGCTGGGCCCTAGCGCCCGCACGCCCCCTCCGAGACTGCGGCCGGGGCTCCTCCGCGGCCCGAGGCGGGGGAAGGGGCGGGGCGGGGGAGCAGGCAGGTGTCCGCGGCCGGCTCCATCGGCGACCAGCAGTCGCCCGCCCGGGAGCCCCAACCTGGAGAGGAGTTCCCGAATGCCTCTCGCCCAGCGCGTCTTGGGGCGTGAACGCAGAATCCTTGTAGCTGAAAGGAATAATCAAATATTTATAAGATTTCCTGCAAGATGCTTCACAATAGAATATACTTCTTATCTGGTCGGAAATTTGCCAGAAAGCCATAAATAATTGAAACAGCTGTGATTAACCTCTCAGAAACCATACCAGAATTCGCAATTAAACATTTAATTGAATGGTGTCGTTTGCCCCCCTCGTCCGGGAGTGGGGGGTGGGGTGGGGGTCGCCTGATTGAGATGAATCCCGGCTCCGCCCGGGTAGGGAGGTTTCGAGAATCGGGCCTTGCAACTCCTCGGTGACTCCCGACCTTCACGGTCTCTGTGCGTCTCGAGTTTAAGGCGCCTTCCGCCCGGCCAGAATGATTGAAGTTCTGACTCCCCTGGGTTTTACGATTAACAAACTCGCCGGGGACTGGGAGGGTGCGGCGCGCAAGTGAGTTCCAATTTGCGGGGACGAGTGCCACCCACTTGTGGCGGGGGCCGCATCCCGGGTCTCCCGAGCTCAGGGGCCACAAGTGGATCAGGCTGGGCCCAGGCGAAAGGCTTATGCTGGGTCCAGCCTGTGAAGCTGACGGTGCGAATGGGCGCGGCTGGGGCGAAAAAGCAACAACTTCATTCGGGCGTCGGAGCCCAGAATTTGAGCCAAATAGGAAAAAGCTGCCCGAAGCCCGGCAGCAGCGACATTTGAGCGCCCAGCGCTGTTACCCAACTGAATTTCCTGCTCCGGGCGGCAGCTCGCCTTCTGGGGAGCTCGACACCCTGGATGCCCAACAGGATGTCGAAGCCACAGCTTCCTGCCGAAATTCCGGAGCCTCTCCCTGGCTCCAGTCACTCGGGGCCTCTGTGACCCCGGACCCTGAACCTCGCCCCCGTTGCGCCTAGGTGGGAGCCTCACCTCCCGGCCCAGCCTTTCCTTCCTTCCCCAGCGCAGCTGGGAAAACCACTTGGGTCATTTCTTCCAGAGCTCCTTGCCACCTTTCTAAATTCTTAGGTGTCGATAATCTGAAAAGGGATTACTCCTCACCATCCCTATTCTTCCACTTCTCTCTCCCAGTTCCCACGCCCCCAACCCAGAGGTTCTCCCGCCTTCCGCATTCAAACCACCCCCTTAAATATCCTGTTTGCCAACCGGGAGATTCTCAGCCTTCCTAAACTCCTGCCCCTCCGTTCATTCCCTCACTCACTCTCCCGCCAGCTGCTGACTTTGAGGAGGTGCCCTGATCACCTAGAAGTCCTGCCTTTCTGGCCCAATCGCTGCGGGGCCCCAAACTTGCTTTATAAATTGAGCCAACCCCAAATCCCCACACAAATCCACATCTGGATCCCAGTGAGTATTTTCTTGTGCCCTTTTCCTCTGCTATTGCTATTCTCAGTCTAACTCCGTTTATCTGCATCGTCCATGCACAGTCTCTCTCAACAAGGTGCTAGTCTGTAATTGGTCACACAATCCTCATTATTGCACTGAATCCCAGTATCTTGAGGAAAGTTTACCTTTACATCAATCAGACCCGTATTTAAAAGCCTCTAATCTTCCCTACATCAGCTTAATAAACTCTGAATTTCCTGCTTGGAACTTCTCTTCAAATAGTTTATTATTCATTCATTGTTTCTTCTCTCCAGCATGCTATTCAGCTAATTCTCTTGCTCTCTCTGGTGACCACTTCTATGGGAAAACACAGCTAACTAAAATGTGTGGCAATGTAGGTCCTCCCCCAGGCAGCAGTGGCAGAATTAACATTTTCTAGAGAACAATCTTAGACAACGTCTCATTTAAACACAATATTTGCAGCTCTGAGCTTTAAGCCATTCCACATTCAAAATTGAAAGGCTGATTTCTGTTCCACAACCCATTAAATATTAAAGTTCGTTGGGAATACTGCCACAGGGACTCTGAATTTCCCAGAATTGTGCAGCCTTTCAATATGTATTAAATTTTGTGGTATAATGGCCATAAACTTTTCCATCTCTGGGAATCCCTCTCCTGCCTCAATTACATAGGGCTATCCAAATTATTAGATAAATCTTCTGGAAAAAATATTCTAAAGTGAATCTAGTTAAATAACTAACTCCCATTTTCCACCTATGGCCCCTTTTTATTGAACTTTTTACTACACAATTGGGCATCTCACTCTGAAAGTTCAGTAAGCATAAAATACAACATTTGTAATTGTTACAGGTAATTTAATTTACAAGGAAATCCCGACTGTATTACTGAGCATGTTTAAAGATGACCTGGGAACCAGTAAAACTGATATTTATTAATGTAACCAACCATAGATCTGACACCACACCAGAGACCATTGTAATAAGGCTTCAAAGTCAAAGCTTTTCCGTGGAAATGATGCACCTTTTTGGGTGGCCAGCAACCAACTACAGAAGAGTGTATATTTTACATAGTAATACATACAGATTGAGGCATCCTAATAAATGGTAATCACTTTTATCTGGGTAATGTCCCAATATTCAAAATCTGACACACTCACAGAATAGCAAAAAGGAGAATTAGATTTTTGATCTATGGATAATAAGAGTTTACTGTACTTAGGCAGATGTTTCCGTTTGTAGCATTTGCAGTCTTTCAGGGCGCCTGGGTGGCTCAGTTGGTTAAGCATCTGACTCTTGGTTTCGGCTCAGGTCATGATCTCACGGTTTGTGGATTTGAGCCCTGCGAGCCCTGCGTTGGGAGCTGGCAGAGCCTGCTTGGGATTCTCTCTCTCCCTCTCTTGCTGCCCCTCCCCCACTCGTGCTGTCTCTCTCTCAAAATAAATAAATTTTTAAAAATTAAAAAACTACTGCAGTCTTTCAAAAGCAAAAATTCAGAGCTAATTAACAACAAACATTAATGAAATTCTTTACTCAAGAACCTGTTACTTCCGTTTTTAAAGTGACAAAACCTAATATTCTGGATTAATCAAAAGTTTTCCAAAATAAGATTTCTTGGAAGTTTAGCCTGCTATCCAATGGCCAGCCAGTAGGTAAGAGAAAATAATCTATATTTCTGTTTGGGAAGGAATGGTCTAACTTAAGGGAGCAAAGCCTCAAAGAATCTAACCCTGATTATTAAAACCGTTTCTAGGCACTTGAGAGGTAAAGCTGGTCCTCATTAACCCTATGTATCTCCTCCCTTATCTCTTAAGTCTGCAGCACCATTTCCTAAATCCCGAAGAAAGGGAATGTTCTCTTCAAATTTTGTGCCAGCATCACCTTGACTTTGAGGAAGTAAAATATAAATTTGGCTTGAGTTTCCCACCTCCCATTTTCTTTCAATAATTGACAGCTAGTCTTCCAGTTTTCCATTTCTAATGGGGGAGGGGGAGGTGACGGAATCCTGCCCTCAGCTCTGCTGAAAAACCTACAGTGGCCTCTGGCCATCCAAGCAGCCCACAGTTTTAACAGAAGGCACCTACTCTTCTATCCAGAGACCACAGCTGCCGCTCAGACACATTTTCCCTTACCAGACTCTACCTGAGATATCCCCTATTCACGGCATTGCTCTTTCAAAACAAATCCTGGACAAAGAAGGATATGCTTGGGGTCATTTATCTCGAGGGACGAGAAAACGGAAACCCAATGCCAGAGATTCTTCAAGAGTAGTGGATTGACTGGTAGGGTGGCAGTTTCCTGAGTCCACCAAGTGAGGCCTGGTCAGAGGAAAAGAACTGTCCCAGGCTGCCAAAGGGTTAAATATTTGTTAAGGGTAAAACCTGAGCCTCCTGTTTTTTGTGCTTGCCCGGGGGCCTGCTGGAGATTCAGTATCTCTCGGTTATTTCCTGCGATCACTAAAGCCAGTTTTCAAGAAAACAAGTCGCAGGGGTTTGAAATGTCACACCAAGTGACCTGGGCACGACATATCCAGGGGCCATTCCCAGCCCCCTCCCACCCGGGCTATCCCCCGCCTCCTGCATTTCGGGTCTGGAAAGAAAATAAACCAAGGACACGCCAGACTGGTTCTGGGTGGACTTATTTTCCCGGGCAGCCACGATCCTAGCGGGGGCTTGTTGTGGCTCCTTCAGTGTATCGCTTGCAGGTGATGCCAAACGAAGATAAGGAGCCGCCGCCCGGCCTTCTCCTCTGTCTAGACAGGGGAATTAATAAATGCAGCGAGATTGATCACGTCGCGCATCCACTCTGGGGACAGCGCCGAGGGTGAGCCGTCACAGCCCCCCTGTTCGCCACGGGCCCGCGGGCTCTTTGGTCGACGGCATGGCCCGAGTGGCAGGCGTGCGAGGCGCCCTGGACAGGGGGTTCGGAAAAGAAGCGCCGGAAGGGCCCGAATGCACCGGCCGAAAATGCAGCGAGCGGTGGAGGCTCGGCCTTTAGGGGTGCACCGGACTGGGTTCTGCTCCAAGAGCAGAGGCAAAGCTGAGGGTACGAGACGCCCTCGCGAGCCTGACCGCAGGCTGGAGTCCGCCGAACTGCCGCTAACCGAGCATCGCAGGTTTCCCGCTCAAACGAGGTTTCCCCCCACTGCCCCGCGGACCTCGGCCTCGAAACGCCCGGGACCGGGGAAGGGTGGTGGGCAGTGCAGACAGAGCGTGGCCTGGAGCAAGGGGCACGCGCCGACTTCCGGGAGGGCAGCCGCGCTTTCTAAAGCGCCAGCCAGGGCCGCCGGGGGGCGCACAGACCCAGCCCCGCCCCCCCCCAACAGCGCCCAATCCCCGCCGGGCCCGCCCCCCCGGCCGCGCGGGAGCCCTGAGGGCAGCGGCGCGCGAGGCGCGGGCACAAGCAGCTGGGCCCACCCCTGGGCACCCGCGGCGGGTTCTGCTCGGCCGCTGTTTCGTTGAAACAAGCTCCGAGCCCCAACCGGCGCTCGTCCAGCCCTCCCGCTGTGCCCACAGCACACAGCAGCAGCATCGCATCGGGTTATTATTATTTTTTATTAAGTTCAAAATATCCATCCCACTGTGAACTGGCTGTTCTTACAATAAATAACAATAACTTACGTTTTGTTCGGCAAAGGCTCACACACTCTGTCCTCCGTCGACTGATAATTTAACACATTTTCAGGAAAGTCTCGTTTCTACTTTTTTCCGGCAATCATGCGCTTTGGGGATTGAGTGTCTGTTCCATTGGATTGTCCCCGCTTAGAGCCCAGGCAAAGCTGCCTGGGAGCGCGGGACCGGCTTGGGGTTGGAGACCGCCTGGGCGAGTTCTGGGGGTGGCCCGGCGCCAGATGGGCCCTGCGCGTTCTCCGCGGGTAGGGGGCGCGGACAGAGCGGCGGCAGCCACGCGGAGCGAGGGAAGAGAAGAGGGCAGAGCTAACTCTAGTAAATCCCAAATTCCGGTTTTGAAAAAATAAAAGTTCTTGGATCAGGGCTCTCCGGTCTGGTGAAAGCAGGTTGCATCCTGGCGCTTTGGGCTGTCCTGACTGCTTCTCTGTCCTCTCTCTTTAAATAACAATAATAATAATTACAAAGGCGAGAGAGTTTTCGGAGCTGGAATGGCCAGAGCATGGGTGAGTCTCATGCAGGGAGCATGCGAGGTCCGCGGGCTGGCGAGGATGGGGTCCCCTCACGTCTCCACAGGACTCGGCACCATGCTGTTGGGGGTGTCCGGGAGCTGCGAGGACAGGGAGGTCACATCGCTGCCGGAGGAGTTGCCTAGCGAGCCAGACTCAGAGAAGGAGACCTGGGGATGCAGAGACACCAGGAAAAGGCAGGTGAAGAGATGCCAGAGCTGGTGCCCCCAGACCGTGTGCTCTGAGTTGAGGGTGTCCCTTAGGGACAAGCCACCAGCTGGGAGCAAGCCCTTCGGGGAAGTGGGCCAGGTCCCCAAGCGCACTCTAGGGTATTAGGGCGAGAGCTGGAGTTGGGTTAATCCCTCTACCTGCCTCTTGAGGGCTTTAATCCAGGGAGACTTGCTTTAGAGCGAATTATGTATGGGCGGAGGTGCAGTTGCAGTCCCCCCCAACGTATGCCCCCTCTCATTGTCTACGACAGGCCCCTGGGAAGTACCCCCTTCCCACCTCCGCCCAACGGCCAAATCCCACCCCTCGGAGTAGTGAGGTCAGGTGGGTAGGGCAGGACCTCACCAGCTGCTGGAAGGCGGGTTGGTCCAAGTCACTCTGGAGGGCAAATTCGCTGAGGGCTTTCCACGGTGGCTGGTACGTCTGCACCTCCACTGCGCTGCCCTGAACAGCACTCTCGTGGCGGATGGGGCTGCCCGCCACGAGGGGCGTCCCGGTCAGTCCTTGGAGGCTCTGAGGGACAAGTGGAAGTGGAGGTGAGGGCCGCTCAAGTTAGGCCTTACCTCTCCCGCCCCCTTTGGCACTGAGGCCGCAGGCATTGGCCCAAGATATGGGTCCTGGTTTGGGGGGAGACGCACATTCCACCGTACCCAGGTGAGCCCTCCCTCCCCAGTTAAGATGACCCGGACACAGAACCTCCACCATAGTCCAGCCTCAGCGTTGGCAGCCAACAGAACAAAGGGATTTGAGGCCTGTATTCCCATTTTTCAAGAGGAAAAGTGTTCAAACCAAGCCATGCCAAGAGGACACAACCCGCCGGGACTAGCGGGAGATGCATAACCATGCCTCCTGCGGCTTGGAGCTGTGCCAGCTCAGGTCTGCCGCTGGAACAAGGAGGAGACCCGACATCAGGTACAATAATGATTGAGCCTTAATCCCCAAGGTAAGCCTTTCTCTGAACGCACAAACAAACGCTTTTGGAGAGTCCAGTTGCCCCTGGATGTCCCCAGAGCCCGCCCTGAAAAGGGCACCCAGATGCTGCCGCGAGAACTCGAGGCCCCACCTGACCCGCTCCTCCGCTGCACGGTCCCTCACCGTCTTGTCGTTGTGTTGCTGCTGCTGCAGCTGCTTCATGAGGATGGATTTCTTCTTGTCTTTGCAGCGCTTGTTCTGAAACCAGACGCGGATGACCCGTGGGCTCAGGCCCGTCATCTCCACCAGCTGCTCCTTCATGAGCGCGTCGGGCCGCGGGTTGGCGGCATAGCACGTCCGCAGAGTGTGCAGCTGCTTCTCGTTGAGCACCGTCCGCACGCGGGTTGTCTTCTCCGTCTGTTTGTGCACGTGCGGGCGCAGTGAGGGCTGCCGGCCCGACGCGGGGTCTGCGAGGACAGGCGGACAAGACGTGAGAGAGGGGCCGCCACCCGCCTGCCCCGTGCCCCACCTTGCGGCGGCTGAGCCCTCCGAGGCTCTATTTCGTTCCTTTTTCAATTCCGTTGATTTCGTTTTATTGTTCGTCTCCCTTTCCAATTGTTCGCCCTACCCCGAGGGAGCTCTGCATTTTCGTCCCTTCCCTAGTTCCCCGATCGGGCTGCCCCGCAGCGCTGTCCCCGGAGCTCCATCAGGGCGTGGGAGTCCTGCGCTACGCCGGCTGCGGGAGCCGGGTGGCCGCTCCCGGCTGTGCCTCCTCCACTTACCCGACCCTAGGAATGCCCGTTTGGGCCCTGCGGGACGAAGGAGGCCCTCCGGAAGAAGTCGGAGTTTCAGAGGAAGAAGAAGGAGGAGCTCCCGGGACTCTGAGGGGGAAGGGGACCGACAGGGGCCCAGAGCGCCGCGCAGCTTTGGGGTTAGGGGGCTTGTCTCCCGCTCTTGGGGGCCTGCGAGAGCCATTCCTCCTCGTGCAGAGACCACTGGGACAAGGCCGCGAAGACCCAGCCTGGGGTGCGGACGGTCCTCAAGGGACCAAACGTTCTTCACTGCCAGCTCTCCAGCCTCAGCTCTCGGGTCTCCTCGTTCAAGGCTCCAGCTTCCCTGGCCCGGCGCAGCTCACCCTCCCGGCCCGAGCGCAGCGGCTAGCATTCTCGCTTGGCTTTGGGAACTCTCAACCCCGGGTAAATAGCGCCTGACCCCCGCGCTGGCAGCCTGAAACCCGTAGCACACAAAAGGGAGTACCTCTGAGACCCGAAATCCGGTGCACTCAACACCAGCTTCATCCTGTTTCACACCCCCATCCAAACTAGGTCCACACACCCATGGATATATGCTGCACGGTTTCAATTTATATCCTCCTTCACGCATTTCTAGGTCTGAATAAATATTTACAAATAGTCCATCCAGCTCAATTTCCTCATTCTATAGGAGAGGCAAGAGGGGGCCAGAGAAGGGAGGAGCACTACAAGACCACAGAGCACCCAGAGGCTCAGCCAGACCTGGAGATTGGTGCTTCAGGTCTGTGGCTGCCCAGCCTGGGGGCACCATCCTGCCCACTAACCACACACTCAGACCCCATCTCTGGGAAGCTCCTGATTAGCACCCAGGGCATCATCCCTTGAAATGTTTTCTATGACCTCAAGTCCACTGTGCCACCACACCCTCCCCACGGAAGAAGCACTCTGCTAAGTTGTTCATCAAACTGGGTCTCAAAACACAAATACAGACACCGGCTCTTTGTTGGGGCGGCTGGCCTGCTAGTTGGCGGAGCCCAGGCCCAGTTCTGGGATGGGAGATGTATTCCTTACACACATACCCCCAGGCAAACCTAGCTTTCCTCTCTGGCAGTAACACATAGTGCTTGTAATTCCCCATACAAGTTTCCCAGACAGGCACTGCTAAGATTCTGTTGTCATTCACACTCCTACTCCTGGCAGACCGTCCCACATATTCCTGATCATGGAGAACACAATTTTCGACAATTCTCCGCATGCTCACACACTCCTACACACAATCCCTGTTCATGTTGATCCACAAACGATTCCCCCCCCCCCCACACACACACTCTCCTGTGTTCCTAGCCACAGATCTGCACTCACACAGAAACACACAATCCTGGCAAACGGAACCGCGCACGAGTGACAACTTTTCGTCCGAGCACAAGCACTCCGGTATCACACACTCGCACGTGCACTCACAACAGCGCAGGGGGCGCCGGGCCCCGCGCGCGGCTTACCTGGCAGATGCAGGCCGCGGGCGCCGGGGAGCGGGCCGGGGCTGCGCGGGCTGCCGGCCGCGGCGCGCTCCAGCAGGAGGCCGTGGTCGGCGCGGCAGAGCAGCTCGTGCTCCCGCAGCGAGAACTCGTCGCCGGGCAGCAGCTGGCGGCTGCATACGGAGCAGCGGAAGCACTCGATGTGATACACGCTGTCCCGCGCCCTCATCACCAGATCGCTGCTGCTGAAGCCCACCTGGCACTTGGCGCACTTGATGCCGAACAGCCTGCGGGCCCAAGGCGCGGTCTGTGTCAGCGAGGGGCCTGAGGCCCGCCTCGCCTCCCGGTCTGCCACCGGCTCCGGGCACGCGGGCCCAGGACGCTTTGTGGCCCACAGGGAGCTTGCGGGGACCGACCCTCGGGGAGTTCGCAGGCCCAGACGCTCACGGCGGCACACGTTCGGAGTAGGAGTGGCCTTCTCTCCAGGCTGGGGAGCGCAGACAAGCCGCCACCCCCAGCCCCAGCCCCAGCAGGCGGTAGCTGAGCCCCGGCTCTCGCCGGCCTCACCTGACATAGTCCCGCTTGCAGTAGGTCTTCCCGTCTCTCACGAAGCACGTGCACGTCTCGTCCAGGTACTGGCTGCACTCGGCGCACTTGAGGCAGGCGGCATGCCACTCCAGGTCGGGCGACACCCGCAGGATAAACTGGTCGTGGATCTGACTCCCGCAGCCCACGCACATGGCCGTCCCGGGCTTCTCTGCCAGGGAAGGGCGCGGGACCCGCGTCAGGCCAGGCTCTCCGGACCCGCTCTGGGCCTCGGCCACGCCAACCCCAACCCAACCCAACCCGCTCGCTCCCTCGTTCCCTTTCAAGAATTGCGACTACGGGCTTTCTAAACGTCCAAACAATTGGAAACGAAAAAACAAAACCTTCTGAATTTGCGGAGGCTTTTTGTCTCCTCTCCACCCCCAATTTTTTTTCCGCTACTACATTCATTTGGACACAGTCATTTTATTGATAATATCTTGTAACTAAAAGCTAATACGTAGGGGGGGAAGAAAGAATAAAAAGACATTTAAGCACTGCGGACGCCACCGCATCAATACTGAACGGTGATGTTCCGGCATTTCCGTCCACACACTCCCTCTTACAGCGACTCCCTCCAATCCCAACACAGACACATCAGCTTTCATCGGAGTCTCCTCTCATCCTCTCTGACATTTCTTAAATATCCCATATCAAGCTAGAGAAATCTGCCTTCTTGGAAAGGCCAAAAAAGACATGCAAGCAAGCAAAAGAGCCCATATTTCCCAATCAAACCTAGTTGCCCTAGCGCAAAACAGAAGCAGATTTCACAACCTGAGGTCAGCCTAGCAGCCTAACATTGAGAAAGAATGTTTAATTGTAAATTAAAACAACAGGATTCCAAAGGACAAGTGGCCTGCAGGAGAAATGCATTCGTTTTTTTTTTTTTTTTTTT